CCAATGTCATCATTTCTTAACTAAGTATTTATGCAGATGACACAACCATCTACTCCTGTTTTAGTAGCAAGCATGACAGACAAATGTGCTTGAAAATGGTCTCCAATCAGTGGTTAACTGGGGCAAAGAATGGCTTGTAAATTTTAACACTTCCAAAAGAAACTGCTTTTATTTAATCACGACAGAGAAAATTTTCTTCCTGCCACAAGGAAAGCAATTCTGTGCACCTTCTTGGAATCACATTTTCCACTGACATGAAGAAGAAGAATTATATTGAATCAATTGCTAGGTCTGCAGCTAGGAAAGTTGCTTCAATGTGTCATACCAGACAATTTTCTCCTATCTGATTATATCTTACACATTTCTAAATCTACCATTTGTCCGTAAATTGAATATTGCTACCAAGTCTGGTATGGTGCTCCTACTATATATCTCAAAATTCTTGAAAAAATTCAAAGAAGGGTCCGCAATGTAAATTGATCCTGAAATGTCATCATGACTTCAGTAACTTTTTCACCAACATGAATTAGCTTCCCTCTGTCTTTTCTACAAATATTCCCATAGTAATTGTTCTGATGTCTTGTCCTCCTTGAGGGCTTGACTGTGTCAATTTAAGCATACGACTAGATTGGCAACTAGGTCACACAATTTTTTTTTGTTCACCATTGCAGTAGTCAGGTATTGAATTAACAACACTTTGGGTCAAGTCACTGAATCTAACCAACGCTTTAACCACAAAACTTATTTTTCTGGCAAATTTGGATAATTTAAATTAATCCAGCATTAAAATTTTTCAAGTTGTAGAAAAATATACAATTTTTACATCATTTGAAAGAGAAATAAATTCTGCATAAAATGTACACAATAAAACTAATTTCTATTGTTTTATTAGAAACACATTCTGAAATGAATAAAACTTTAAGCATCGGCCTTAAACTTATTTTCACAAGTGTATGTCAAGCTTCTTGACAAAATTCAAAGAAGGGTCTGTAATATAATCAGTCCTGACCTATCATCTTGATTTCAGTCACTTTCTAATGAACCCAGAACTTTCACCAATTGTGATGAACAATGTTCCTCAGAGAGGCCTTGTGCCTTGAGTGCCTATTGGGACTTGTACATGCATTTATTTCCCTGTATTTATGCAGATGACACAGCATCTACTACTGTCTTAGTAGCAAGCATGACAGACAAATGTGCTTGAAAATAGTCTCCAGTGAGTTGTTAACTGAGGCAACGAATGGCTTTTAAATTTAAAACTTCTAAAAGAAACTACTTTCATTTAATCACCACAGATAAAATTTTCTTCCTGTTTTGAAGAGAACAACTCTGTGTGCCTTCTTGGACTCACATTTTTGCTTTCCATCAATATGGCTGATGCTAACGTCCAGGAGAGTGACTTATTGCACCTTCTTGGGTTAACGTTTTTCACTGACATGAAGTGGAAAGATTATATTGAATCAATTGCTAGTTCTGCTGCTAGGAAATTTGGTTCACTGTGTTGTTCTAGACAATCTTTCTTATCAGAATCCATCTTGCACATTTATAAATCTACCATTTGCCCATGTATTGAATATTGCTGTCATATCTGGTCTAGTGCTCCTGATATATATCTCAAGATTCTTGATAAAATTCAAAAAAGGGTCTGTAATGTAATTGGTCTTGACCCATCATCTTGATTTCAGTCATTTTCTCACAAACAGAACTTTCACCATTTGCGATGAATGATGTTCCCTTAGAGGAGACTTGTGCATTGAGTGCCTATTGTGACTTGTACATACAATCCTTTGTTAAAAATGGAAAAATGGTTGGTTTCTTGTACTGCTCCAGCAGACTTCTCTTGCTATCCTGTACTATTTCAAGAGCCAGATCAGAGAAGGAAATGGAAAATATTGAACATATCAACAAAATACTTAACCACTTCTTCCAGAATGTGTGGTTTACATCTATATCACATTAAAACACTAGTTCTTTTACCAGTTAAGAAAATTTTAGCCTGGTCAGTACCTAGATGGGTGACCACTTGAGAATACCAGATGCTGTAAGCTTGGATGTGCAAGTGGTGTAATGGATAATGGCTTGGAATTGAAAATCGGGTAGCCGAGTTCCAATTCAAGTTGGGTCTGTTATATTCATATAAGCACAAATACCCTTAGAAAATATATGAATCCACCTCTTCTCTCTCTAGCTATGAGATAATTAGTAGGACTTGTATCTGTAAATCATTATTATCTAAGAAAAATTGTTACCATCTAAAAATATTTTTTGGTTTTAAATAACCTGCAAAGGGTTGATAACACATAAAAATACAAATTAATCAATAAATCCAGAATCTGGTCAGAACTTTGATGACCTGCTCTGAGTAGAGGCCTTTTGAAACCTGTGGACATTCTGACGATGATGTATTGTGTTTGTTCAAGTTTTAACATACAAATGAAAAATATGTTAAAATGGTCAGTATGATTGTGGTAGTGGTGAAGACAAGAACTTTTCCCTCCAAGAAATGATGTCTACTACTATGCTGCCTCTATAATAAAGTGAATAAAGCAGAAACCTGAAGAACATTGTTTGTTGTTGATACAGTCTGTGGTGCAGCATTGGGGCCCCTACTGAGAAATTGCCAATAGACCACAAGAATCCACAAACAACACATTTTTGCCTCATGATTATTCTAATTGAACCATATTCCAGCAATGAAGCCATAGATCACACAATATATGACAATTGAAACACATTTTTCAGATGCCGTAGCCGTATTGGATACACGGGAGCACGTCAGGGAATCAAATTGGGTTATGGATGTCGCATAAAAGGAATAGTAATCCATGAAGTTTTACACAGTCTTGGATTCTACCATGAACACAGTCGACCTGATAGAGACAAGTTTGTTAAAATTATTATGGATAATATTAAAGAAGGTGAGTATCTGATAATTTAATTTTCCAGTAACAGTGAAAACATATTTTACTGCTTATTTAAAATTATACTTAGTAATTTGTGCATTATCATCCTTATTGTCATAATTTTGCCCAAAGCAAGGTGGGGCCTGTAAGGGACTGAAAATCTCAGTTTATTCCTCCACATATGCCTGTCAACTGGGAAATGTCATAATGATTTGTAGCGAGGTTTTACAAGGCCAGATTCTCTTTCTGATGCACAACTCGGGCACACTCATGGTAGTCCAAGTGTGCCAAGTATTTTTATCAAGACACCATCTCTAGGAAGGTTGCCATTTAAGGCATGAAACCCCATCCTAACCTATATATATAAATCAAAATATATATATATATATATATATATATAATATTAGTGGTCAATATATATATATATATATATATATATATATATAATATTAGTGGTCAATATATATATATATATATATATATATATATATATATATATATATATATATATATAATATTAGTGGTCAATATATAAATATATATATATATACATAAATTTCAAAGGGATAAAATCCAGATCCAGGTAGAACTCAATGTCCAGGACAGAGTAAGAATATAATATAAAAGGCTCAAACACTAATATTCCATGGTTATAATTTATTACATTGGAATCATAATCACAATCCAATTTATCAAACCTACATGATTTTAATGTAATAAATTATAACCATGGAATATTAGTTTTTGAGCCTTTTATATTATATTATATATATATATATATATATATAAGTACATACACAGGGTGTATCAAAACAAAAATTACAAACTTTGGGGTGGGTTCCTCACACCAAAACAAGGACAAAAGTCTATATAAACATACGTCCACAAATCCTGGATTGTCTCCAACAGCCTGTAGAATATCTTCTTTGTGGTCAGGTGTACAAATGGATTTTAGTCTTCCTTTATCCATGGTGCCATGGATTCTGTCTCAGCAACGCGATGATAAACAGCAGCAAATGTTGGATGACTCAGCTCCCTTCAGTCTGGAAATGCAATCTGACACGGCCGTGCAGCCTTGTGTCAATTATCATCTGCATGGCCTTATGCAAAAATCATATCTGCCTGCTCACGATATGAATATCCTGCCATTGTTAACCAGAACAATTAACTCACTTCTATTGTTACAGACAATAACTGTAGCATAAAAAGAAAAGAATAAAAAAAACAACAACTTTCTGTCTAGAAGGTTTGCTGCTTCATAATGGATGGATCCTCTACAGGGTTGAATACACAAACGAGGAACAACAACCAACAGTAATGAACAACAAACACTATTATCTGTCTATATTTCTGAGATGAGGTATTATGTACATTATTTGCATTATTTGAATTATTGTCCTCATCTTTGTTGCCATATTTATCACAACATTTCGGCTGTTGTATACTTCAGCCTTTTTCAGGTAGTTGGAATGTCGAACTGAACCCTTTATTATGCTTACTGGGGTAGATCCAGTGACAGGACCCAAAGAGTGAGTGTTCAATACCCGGCTAAGGCAGTGGAGAACTTTCAGAGGAAAATTAACAGGAGATAACTGACAACTGACATCCATTATACATGGCATGTGAAACCAGAACACTCTACCCCAGTGAGCGAAATAAAGGGTACAGTTTGACATTCGAACCACCTGAAGAAGGCCGGAGCGTACAACGGCTGAAATGTTGTAATAAATATGGCGACAAAGATGTATAATAATGTAAATAATGAACAAACACCAATATACAAATTAACAAGATTTAATTATAACTAGACAATACATGAAAACATTAATGTAAGAGAATGCATGAAAAGCTGTGTATTATACTTTTCTGTGTGGAAAGATGTATGCTTATGTTTTGAGATTAAAAGTAAACACAATCACTTTGTTTCAGTCTCTCACCTGAAATAAAATAGGGTTTTCTCTTTTCCTTTTTCTCTCTTTCTCTTGTTTCATATTTCTCTTTGTTCTTTCTATTTTCAGTTCAGTTTGATCACACGAGCAGCACTATCTTATGATCTAGCCTCCTTTCTTCACTATTATGAGTTGTGCCTCAAAGGGAGATTTCTCTGCTTGTTCCCACAGACAATGAGAAATCTCAGGTTAAGCTGCTCGGACAGGCCACATGCCTTCTGCAGCAAAGGCTGTGGGGTAGTACTTTGAGCTGGGCCTTGAAGGTAACAGCCGCTGAAAAGGAAAAGTGGAAAAGAGGTCGAATAGGGCTCAATCAGCATTTTTATGAGATCTAGGACTTCCAGTTGTTTCCTGCTGATTACTTCCATTACTGCTACTGCTGAAAGTAAGGAAGCCCCCACATGCTACAATAGCTAAAAAGCAAGATAGTTTCTATATGATTTGCCTAATTCAGTTATTTATTTACTATATAAGATTGAATAATTATATCATGTGTGTGTCAGTAATTAATCTGAGAAATAAATGGCTAAATTTAATTCTAAAAAATTCTTCAGTAAAAAAAAGCAAACAAACACACATAAAAGTAATGGCAAGCATGAACATAATAAGATGGATTGTCACAAGGACCCTTTTTTGCACAATATTGCTTTTTTAACTACCTTCACTCCTTAGTGAAGTTTGTTGATTTAAAAAGTGATGATTAGAATTGTAATAAAGCACAAACATATGAAAGTGAATTTTATACATTTTCTTAACTTATCCTTACAATATTCCTTACAATTTTATACATTTTCTTAACTTAACCTTACAATATTCCTTACAATTTTTTACATTTTTCATATCCTTACAATATTCTTGAGAATTGGAAACAAAAATAATAAATACTATTTATTTTGAATTCCTCTTCATATTATGATATGATATTATTTTCTACTTATGAAATATTTAAATTATTTTTTCAAAAAATTGTTAATGCAATATTCATTCACTAAAAAGAATTATTCTTACAATCCAAAAATAGGTCTTGGCTTTAAATAACACAAAAAGGGTTGATAAACTATAAAAAAAATCAATCTCTCAAAAACAACTGTTTGTACTATTGATTTGGAGAAAATTGAAAATTTAGCAGTAAATTTTAAGATTTTGCTCCTAAAACTGTCCTGCTGAATTTATATTGTATCAATGTAACTTTTGTCATTTTTCTTTTTCTTCAGGAGATAAAGGAAATTTTGAGAAACTTTTACCACCAGTAATCAACACACAGAACCTTTCTTATGATTACAATTCAATAATGCATTATGGTCGTTCTACTTTTGCCATCGACAGAACAAAACCAACAATTGTGCCATTGAAAAAGGATGTTGATATTGGTCAGCGTATTGGCATGAGTCAGTTGGACATTATACAGTTGCAGAGATTCTATGGATGTCCTGAAAGGAAATTGGTACCTGTCATTACAAGTGAGTTTTCAGTCAATCACTCCATTTAAAATAATCAGGTAATGTTTGTGAAGAAAAAATCTCTATAAATTAGGATATGCTAAAATGAACAAATTTTGTAGATTCAAATTATAGTAAACACATAATTAGAACATATTCTGTTAATTAATCAATTTCAGACAAAATAAAAACCTCTTCTTATTGAAAATTATTAATAAGATTCAATATTCTTATTGAGTGGAGACCAACTTAAAACAAAATTAATCAACTTATAATTTATGGAGAATAATAAAAATTGCACAGCATTTACAATAATATACAAAATTATTAATCTGCAAAGTTTCAGCTTTTAAGCATGTATAATTATTAAGTTATAAAATTTATATTCTTCAAGTAACAGATGTTAGAATAAAACTGTAGGGATACAGAAGGTGCTTATCTCCCTTTTGTGGAGAGAAGTCATGTGAGCCACATGACAGCTACTTGGTGATGTTGTCGGAGTTACCTCCTCCTTCCATCCTTGAACCGGCGGAGGAACAGGTCATTTCGACCTTGACCTCTCATTCATGCTCCTTACACACTCTTAACACGTCAGAGGGACCAGCAAATCCCCTTTTTAGTTAGGCTATATTACAAACCTAGTTGTAATATACATCTAGTCATTTTTAGACATTAGTTATCTTTGGCTAACCTTGTAGTATTTTACTATAGAGACTTTTCGGTTAGCTTAGCCAATTTCTCTTGCTGGTCCCCCTCGACACAAGACAGTGATTTCTCCCTAGATTCTGGGAGGCTGTCGGCGGCCGCAACGGTCGTCTACGCAGGCCCCTTGGCCTTCATTGGCCAAGGGCGCCGATCTACGGGCTGTGTATTAAGTTACACTCCCATTTCTTTTTGTCTGCCAACTTGACGATAGTTGGGAACTTTCTTTCTCTCTCTTCCTTCCCAACACGTCAAGTTGGCATCCAGGCAACGACAAACAACGTCGGCAACACGAACTGCTGCAACAAGTTGGCACCCCGGCAACGACTCGGCTTCAACAACCAACAAAGATCATCCTGGCATCACTCAACATCAACAACCACCAAGCGATCATCCTGGCAACAACTCACATCAGCGTCAACCCCCCAACAACGATGATCCTAGCAACTGCCAACCTCGACCATCAATGCCTGCACTAAAACTTCTGCAGTATCCAGCACTCCTGCAGCATCCTCACTCCTGCAGTATCCAGCACTCCTGCAGCATCCAGCTCCTCCAAGCACCTCCACCGTTTCCGACCATCTTCATTTCCTTTTAGAATAAACCTCTATATATCATATATATCCTCGTTCTGTCGTCCATATTGTTTCACGGTCAGATTTAACGTCTTCAAAAAATGTTAGCGGGCCTCTTGTGACCTCGTTCACCCCTTTCTGTGAAACGGGGCCACTGGACCGCCCGCAACAATGTCACTCCAAAAGTGAGAAAGCGACACTCAAATTCAATTTGTCTTACAGCAGCTAAACAGAATGGTTGCTTTCTTTAGCCAGGGCACCCTGTAACCAAAATCAGAGGCTAAATCTGTCTACTCCAGAAGCTTACAAGCACATGGTGCCATTTTCCTTTGGGAATATATCTATTCCAGATACAACAAAAAAACTCCAGCTTGCAGTCCTCAATTTGGGAAAACCCAAGACTTGCTGTTTCCTGTACTTGCTATTTCCTCACCTGGGACATAGATTAATCCAGCCCATTTGAATCTGGAGTCCTAAATATGGCTTCTCCAGACACAGGATTATCTCCATATTATATGTAAAACCCTTCCTTTTTGTTATTCCTTGCACTATGCTTTGCTATGTAGATATATGTGATATATTATTCTGCACATGGGACATGTGTATATATTTGCATGTAGTTTTGTGTATTTCGTAGTATTATAAAAGTCTCTGAGAACAAAGCATGTTTTTCATTATTTTTCCATTCTGCTATTCCATCTGTGAAGTATGGTGTTGTTATATCATGTATATAATAAAGCCCATAATAGGGAAATTCAAATGGGAGAATATATCTTTCTCCCATAGAAACCTTCCATTAGATTGGTGACTCTGACATGATCTGAACATACAGCTGTTAAATATTTGTGCATGTTCTTGTTTTTAATATTACACCTGTAGCCATTTATAAATAAAAGTCAGTTTAAGAAATAGCCAGTTTGAGTAATAGTTGGAGGAAAAATCTGTCATTGTTGTAGGAGAAGGTCATTAATTAATCTTCCTGTGTCTGGTCTTTTCCCTGTCATGCAATAATTATCCCCAGAAGAAGAAACTGATTAATACAAATATAAAATTTGTCACTTAGCTAATTGATATCCCTTTCGACATCCTGACTCAAGAGTTTTGTAGAGGGACCCTCCAGCAATCGTTTCATCTACTCATCAGGGAATCTATCTATCTATACATGCTAGCTTAAAAGTCACCCTATTAGTGGCTCTTGATTGGGCCTTCAGCTTGTTCATGAGTTTGGGAGTCCCTAATTCATTGTGTATTGTCAGCACTGGACGTTCTCCTGGCTGCCATTTGATCAGGGTTTTCTGGGTACAGGACTTTCTTTTCCTTGCTGCAGACTTAGCTCTTTTGATTGCAATCATAGTAATGAAACTTGAGAATCCAAAATTTCAGGGTTGTGAGCTTGAATTTGGCCAGGAGTATTTTTAATTTACCCACAGAATCAACCTGATTCCAAAATGGTATGATATGTTGGGCTACAAGTAAAGTTGAAAAAGTGTGACACACTGACATTTGCATTTATTACATAGAAGATAAAATTATTGAAAGTTAGAGATTTGTGTCATTTTAATTAAAAAAGTGTGACATACAGATATTTTTGCATTTGTTGTATATATATATATATATATATATATATTCATAAGCTGTTAATGTTATTGTTACTCATCTCAAGTGGTAATAATGGTTACTTTCAAGCAATGGCATGTACATGAAGGGATTATTGTTTTAGGTGAAGAGTAAATGCCCAGACCTACCTTCTTGACATCTTCTCCAGGATCCATGCATTTTTAATGGCAATGATAACAGCAATATTAGCTATTTCCTTATCACAAAACATTTGACATTCATCATGTCCAGTAGCTGTTATTGCTCTTTCCAGTATTGATTGGGGATTTCTTTCCTAACCTTTTATTTGAAGTAGTGTGGAATGTCAACATCTTGATTATGTCATTATATTCTCTTTGATTTCCATGTACTATCCATTTTAGTTGTTGCTGCTGTTTGTAGTCTTTGTGGTTTCTGTTATTTGGTATAGTTCTTTGTGATTTTGTAGCACCAGACACACAGGTTTTACTTGCTCAAAGCCATTTTTAATCATTGATCTCAGATAGTAGTTGTAAACAGCTGACAGTTTAGATATTTCTGAACAGGTTTCGCACCATGCATGTCATCCATATGAAAGTCTCGAGTTTTCAGGTTGATGTTTTGATTTTGTAGCAATTTGTGATATTGAGCAAAACAACTTCTAGCTCAGCCTATTCTATATTCAATTTCCTTATCTCCTATATTAAATTTGTTAAAACTGATCCATACCTGAGTGGATTATTGTTATAGTTCAGGAGTAAGGTGTTGTACATGCCAAGGCTCACAATCTTCACATCCTCTCCAGGATCCATGAACTTTTAAGGATATGAATGGTTGGTTGACTTTGTTTAGTGGCATATCAACCTCTGTGAGTTATTTAATGCCAAAATTTAAATATTTTGCATGCATTTTTTTTTTGAGATAATAATGATTTTAGTGATATAAATCTTACTAATTAACCCATAACTGGGGGAGAAGAGGTGGATTCATACCTTCCCCAAGGGTATTTGCATGTAAGTGAATATAAAAAACCCACCTGAATTGGAACCCAGCTATCTGATTAACATTTCCATTAACAATTCATTATACCGCCTATATATCCCAGCTTACAGCATCTAGTACTCTCAAGTGGTCACTTATCTAGGTAGTGACCATGCTTGACATTGCTTAACTTTGGTGATCATGTTGGAACCAGTGTTTGAGCATAATGTGGGTGAAAGTCTATTTTAATTTTATGAAAAAATGAAGTTATCAAATTATTGTAACCTAGAGAAGGTTACTGAATAGAATAATCACAAGGTAGTGAATGATAATACTTAGGACAAGAACAACACATATGAGATTTGTTAGCGGTGCGTAGAAGAAGTAGTCAGCTGCTAGAAGTGAGTCAAGTCCCTGTATAAAACAGAATAGGGTAGCTATTTCCTGAGACAAGACTCTACCCTTAGACATAGCTTTATCTGGGGATCCTCTCTGCCCAGAGGCAAAGAGTTTGGCTAGCACAGCTGGAGATGAATCTCCAAATGCAGACCAACATACAGTATTTACTACTGTATTATGTGAATGGGGACACACCCATTATTGCCTGTAGGTATGCTATAACACAAATATTGATGAAAGACTAAAATACAATGTATAATTGATTATTGATAGAAGATCAGCTGTGAATTATCTATTTGGAATTAATATGTTTTGGTTGATTTGGAAAACATATTAATCTGTAATAATTTTGAATTATGGGTATCAAAGATCAATTTTTGAAGTTGTGTATGAAATTGAAAACAAATGTTTTTCTTTTACAGCTAATCCTGTTTCTATCAACTGTACATTTGAGGCTGGTTATTGTGGTTGGAAACATCTATTTATGGAACCACCTGCAAAGATAAATACTTGGTTACGTTGGTCTGGAGGAACATACACAGATGGCACTGGACCAAAAAATGACCACACTATTGGAACATTTGAAGGTAATGCAAACCACTGGCTATTCCAAAATTTTATGGCTAGTAAAATTAAAAATTTCTAATATTTGCATATGACATTATGGTATGTTGGAATGAGCAAACAATCAAACTGTGGTGATTAAAGGAGATAAAAGGTCTTTGATTTATCTAATCTATGTCTTATCTCCATTTGTTGTTTTGTCCCATTCAATTTTTGTTCATGTTAATGGTAAGGCTGCAATGACAGCCAGACCATGAGGATTGAAGAAGGATGGTCCTCACTGAGACCTACAGAGTTCACTCACTCAAAACATTTTCAACTATTGATCTATGAAAGTGGTTGTATACAGCTGACAGTTCAGATATTTCTGAACAAATTGGCTGGCATGAATAACATCCATATGTATGAAAGTGTATTGTAGGTGTGTGTGTGTTTGTTGTAGATTAGGACTCAGCATACTTCCTTCTATTCCCTACCCCTGTGACAATGGATTGTTCCTACTTATAAACATGACAAGTAGCCACATTAGAGTAGGATTTGAGTAGTATTTGATTTACTCAAATATTTGGTTCTATGTATGAGTATTTAATAAACCTCTTCTTTTTCTTTCCTATATCTAGTCTTCTGTTCCTTTGTTATTTTCTCTCTATGGCCTTCCTAATTCTAGGCTTTTTTGAACAAAGACAACATTACAACAATGTTCATATATAAACAATTAATGTCAAAGCAACAAAAACTTGGGTTTCTATTATGAACCGTTTTTTCTTTTGTTTTTATAATAACTCTAGTGAAACAAAATTCTCAATATCTTTTGAGTATGTTCATTTTCTTCTGGTTCAGATGCAAGTTAGGGTAAGTAATGATAAAAACATTAAAGAAACAGAGCTTGGTTGAATTTAAGAAGATTGTTTAAATGAAATGTTGCTTCCTTAATGTACTTAATATATAAGTTCTTCACACTACTATGAGGATGGGCTGAAATGTTTATAGGCTGACTATGATGGAGTGATGCTAGAGCAGTGAAATCTTGCATGCATTAATTTCAATTCTTCTTATTAATAACTGAGCTGTTTCTTTCCAGGTACGAGTGTGGGTTAAAAAGTTCATAGGCTGACTATGAAGGAATGATGCTAGAGCAGTGAAATCTTGCATGCATTAATTTCAACTCTTCTTATTAATAACTGTATTGTTTCTTACAGGTATGTGGATGGGCTGAAAAGTTCATAGGCTGACTATGACGGAGTGATGCTAGAATTGTGAAATCTTACCTGCATTAACTTCAACTCTTCCTAATAATAACTGTATTGTTTATTTCCAGGCAAACTGATATCTGACTGTCCAAAGAAAATTGTTCATCCTGTTGCTCCCCAAAATAATCAACAGCAGATATGACATATATATATATATATATAATTCAATTCAACATACACACACACACATATATATATATATATATTGAATTATATATATATATATAATTCAATATATATATATATATATATATATATATATATATATATTCATATATATATATATATATATATATATATATATATATATATATATATATATATATATATATATATATATATATATAATTCAATATATATATATATATATATATATATATAATATATATATATATATATATATAATTCAATATATATATATATATATATATATAATTCAATATATATATATATATATATATATATAATTCATATATATATATATATATATATATATATATATATATATATATATATATATATATATATATATATATAATTCAATATATATATATATACACACACACAAGTTTGATTAAAGATTAAAAAATATTCTTTGTTAAGGAATTTTTAATATAAAATAAAATCTCTTAACATTCCAGAACAACAGACATCTGAAGAATGCTGGGGGTTATGCAATCCAAAGTAACAAACAACCAAGACAAAATAATTTGTTTGCACAAACCACTTACTGTATATCTTTATTGTTTGGACATTATTTCTAGTGACACCTGTATTTGAGTAGACACTCTATTTATTAAACTGTGTATTTATTTATTTTCGTCTTCTGAACTAAATGCTTGACAAATTTTATTAGGGAAACATTTATGCTCTCTGAAAGTATTTAAAAACTCTGCCCAGATGGATTCTGGGAAGAGGATCTACTGTTAGATCCAGCACACAAATTGAGTGACAAGGAACCAGCCAGTCAGGTAAGGCTGAAATTGTACTATAATGGCGTGCGGTTTTGGGGTTAAAATGAACAGTTGGTTTACCTGCACCAAGAAGGTTAATGATAGTGATTATGCCAAGGAAACATACAGGTAATTTTAACAAAATAAAATAGGGGTTTAATTTATGAATTTACATACTTGAAGTCATGCCAGTAGCTAGTTTCAGGAAAATAAATCAGAAATTTTTAAAGTCTAGTTTTAACAAATTGTCATGACGAGGAAATGTTCATACAAGAGATTAAATGATCTGACACAAAATAATATTAAAAAATGTTTAAAATAAAGTTAAGATAGTTCTTTACTAACTGAAGGAATATGTTCTGCATACATTCAAAAGTTGACAGAGATAGTTTGAAATACTTAGCTTTCTTGGATTGTTGAAATAAAGTTCTTTGAAGTGCCAAATTTGGTTAAGGCCAGTAATATAATTGGCAAGTAATTTGACACTGGTGAAAATCTGAATGCTGGATATGTGAACAGAAATGAAACCTTTCACATAACTTCAGACATGCTTCTCTTATTAATTTTAATTTTTTGCCTCATTTTATATCAAAAAGGATTTCACATAGGCTCACTATTTTCTTTTCTTTCTTTTTCTTGGCTCAGCAGCTAATTTCTGTGAAGATAAGTTTTTCATTAGTACAAATAAAATTTCACATAGGCTTTTAAATTTATTTCCTTTTCTTTTCAACTTACTGGCCAATCTCAGCTCACCAAGATTTGAAGAAGTGGGTAAAGGGAGCTATTATTATTTCATTCTCGCCACAATACATTTAAGTGAAATTTTTCCTGTCATAGATCTCCCAAAATTTTTCATATCTGTACAGTTTCATATACAAATGTGAACAAAGTCAATTTTCTAAAGAAAATAATGGATTTTTATTAATCTGACAACAATTCGCCCTTGCATGGAGTATTGCTGCCATATATGGTTTGGAGCCCCTTCGGTTTGCCTCGGGGTTCTTGATAGGCTCCAGAGGCGGATATGCAATATAATTGGCCCTGATCTGGCATCTCATCTACAGACACTTTCTCACAGATGTGCCGTCACCTCTCTCTGTCTGTTTTACAAGTACTTTCATGGCAATTGCTCCGAGGAGCTGCATTTGCTGGTTCCCAGACTTCATGAGTTCAAGCGCCCTATGAGGCTGGCATCCCGCTCTCACCCCTTCACTGTTGAAACTCCTAAATGTAGCCGTCTCTTCTACTCCAATAGCTTCATGTCTCGCACCTCTCGCCTGTGGAAATCCCTCCCCAATTCCAGTTTCCCTGAGAGCTATAATCTCCAGCTATTCAAATGTAATATCAATCAACATCTCCAGTTGCCTTGATCTATCCACTACCCTTCTCATCCTTTCTTCTATCACTCCTATCTGATCTTGTTCTAAATTTTCTGTAACTCGTTGCATCCTAGTGGCTTCCCGCCTTGCTTGGGGTGAAACACTTAAAAAAAAAAAAAAAAATAGGTTCTTTTCAAATATCTGATGTCTATTTTCTAGTGAATGATAAATCATGGTCAATTATTTTATCTTTTCAGGTCATTATCTCTATTCAGATGCTGCAGACCGATTTTTATCTATTGCAAAAATTCAAACACCAGAATTCATTGCTGGTGACTACTGCCTGATTTTTTGGTATCATATGTATGGCAAGGATATGGGCAGCCTGAGGGTGAATTTAGTTGAGGGGAAACAGAAGAGAGATCTTATGATTATCTCTGGGGACCAAGGAAATAAATGGCAACAGATGAAAATTTCCATAACATCTACTTCAAATTCAACGGTAAGTGATTTCTTAATCATAAGGTAGTAGGGTTAAATTATCTTTAGTTATATTCAACTAGGGCAGTATTAATTTATTCTTTTTATTATAAGATTATATTGTATATTTATTATTTCTATTATTATACACCTAGTAAGGCAATAAAACTATTAAGATGTAGTGGGGTTACAGTGTGTGAAAGTATATGAGAAAAAGAAAAACATTATTAAGGAAGGTGAAAAATAAAAGAACAGGAATTAAGAAAACAAGATAACAATTGGTATTGCATTTAAATTTTTGAAAATCAAAGTTGACTGTAAAGCAAGAAGCCAGAAGAGAGTTCCACAAGCAAGAAGTGTAAGAGAAGAAACTGTTAGCATAGAACTTACAGTTACACCTAGCCATTCAACTGTTAGATGATGCAACCTTTCTGCCAATCTAGTACTGTGCTGAATCTTGAATCAAACTCTTTAATTTGTCCACCGGAGTAGACTGTTCTAGTTCCACGTGCCATGTCTCGTCCAGATGTCTCAGTTATTTCCCTTTAACTCAACTCTCCAAGTTTGGAGGATCCAGTGTATAAAGACGTTGCTTAGATTCAGTGACTAGACCCAGTAAATAAAGAGGTTGGTTAGATCCAGTGACTAGACCCAAAGAGTTGTGAGTTCAATACCAGGCCGCAGCAGTGGTGAAGCAAAACTTGGAGAGTTGAGTAAAAGGGAAATAACTGAGACATCTGGAAGTGGCATGGCATGTGGAACTAGAACAATCTATCCTAGTGGACGAAATAAAGGGTTTGATTCAGTTTGAAATTCCAATCACCTGAAGAAGGCTGGAGTGTAAAATGGCTGAAACATTGTGAATATGGCAATGAAGATGAGGATAACAGTCTGAATAATGTAAATAATGTAAGTAATCATAATACCTTATCTCAGAGATCTAGAGGCTGAAACATTGTGAATATGACAATGAAGATGAGGATAACAGTCTGAGTAATGTAAATAATGTAAATAATCATAATACCTTATCTCAGAGATATAGAGGCTGAAACATTGTGAGTATGGCAATGATGATGAGGATAACAGTCTGAATAATTTCAATAATGTAAATAATGTAAGTAATCAAAATACCTCATCTCTGATATAGAAAGATAAAATGTGTCATGTGAAACTTAATAACAAAAGTGATGAAAATATAAATGAATAGAAAAAGAAAGTAAATGTAATTGGCTAGACTATATACCCAAACAGATATTAAAAAATAAAAAAAATAAAAATTTTAAAATTTCAGCATCCCTTCTTCTTTGCTTTGTGCACATGTGTAGTTACATCAACAGTAACATCACTTTAATCCAATGAAGTCCTAAAGGTTGAAATGTGTTGCACAACAATTTTTTTCCACTTTGTCATTAATTTTCCTCACATTGTTCTGCTATATAAAAATTATATCATTTTCACCCATATATTTGAATATATTTTGTAAATAAATAATTTTAAAATGTCTGTTTCTAAAACAACAACAACAACAACAATAATAATAATAATAACTATTGAGAAATTGTCCAAATAAAAGGACCTCAAGATCGAGATTAACAGGATATGGGGAATGAAGACTTGGGCTGTAACAGTGTCCCAGGTAAGATCAACATACAAATTGTTCAGAAGCTTGACCCATTAGGAACATGCTATACACTAAAAAAGTGCAATCAATTAAATGATAATTCTTCTATAGGGACTAAGGACCATAGTTTGGATCCAGCTCTGTAGGATGCAAAGCAGGAAACATAGCTGCTCGGCCTGGTACGCTGCCTTTGTGAGCTTCCGTGTCGGCGTCTGTCGACATTAGCAGAGAGGAACCTGGACGAAGCTTTGCCGAAGGGCAAGGTTTCGTTCGGGGAGGTAGACAGGGCCTGAATCCGTCAAAAAGGCTATATTTTTGGCCGAGCCTACGGGCTCGGGGATACCCACATTAAACCGGCCTTGTGCCACATTCTATCCTCGTTGGTGGATTGATAAATACTAAGCAGGAAACATAGCATACACAAATAATAATAATAATAATAATGATAATAAATAGAGGTGCCAAGACATGGCAGTGCAAATCAGAAATATATCAAGCAACAGCTGAATTAATCCCTTTTGTGCTTGGCACATTTGAGACTATTTCCAGGACTATTTCTGTTAGACAGGATGCCTTGGGGATACCTGACAACACTGAGACTGCAGAGCTGGCAGTGCTGCTTTCAACAGGTCATGAGCTGAGGAATGTAATGTGTCTCTAAGCTGCAGGTAGAAGCTGAAATATGAGATATCTATTGTAAGGTATGGCAAGTGTATTGAGATCGGGAGGAAACACCTAACTGATAGCTCTCCCAACAACTAGGTTGGTTGTAGGCAGACAGGAGAAAGAGATGGCATGTAACAAAAATAACAGTCTTGGAAATCATAACAACTTGAGCAACAAAAATGCCAATGGGACTGACTTCACAAGACACCGTGTCTTGCCCTCTGCTTTTATTGACATGAGACATTTTACAAAGATCCAGATCTTAACCAGTTGCAGAGAGGCCTGTATCTAGACATGCCAAGCTGTCCCAATGTTAACAGGTAAAACCTGAACATAACCGGTGTTGGCAAACATGTCAACATGTGATCTGAGGCCTCTTCTGCATCTGCACCAACGTGCATTCACTATAATATCATGATCAATGGCAGTAATATTTTTTTTAAATGTATTGTTGGTATTTTTACTATAAAAATCTATTTTTATACTTTCATAGTGCTTTGATCCCAATCTGGAGGTTCACTATTTGCCCATAGTTGGGATTTTAACTGGTGCTACCAACCCAGGTCAGTATGTACCTGTTCCACACTAATCATAACCTTTTGACCAGAAGCCTTGTTGCTGAATATAGTCATACACAGGATGAAGTAAATAAGTAATATGTAAAGGAGTAAGTAAAATGTAAGTAATAATTGTACTGAAGTTATTTTCTATTCCTTTTTATTTTTACAGATTGAATTTGAAAGTGTCATTGGTAATTCTAAAAGAAGTGATATCTGTATTGATGATGTTCTGTTTTTGAATGGGAAATGTTGAAATTCAAATGTAAGTTAAAAAATAAAGCAATAAATAATTTCCACCATCAGCATTTTTTAATTCTTTTTTTTTCCAATTTTTTTATCAATGCAAACAAATGTCACAGTTCTCCTACATCATCTAGAAAATGCTGCTAATGATGTTTTATCAATGTCTCTAAAACTGAATTTATAAACTTCAATCAATACAAACTGTCTCAGGTGAATCAATAAAATTTGTTGAATCTTTTACATACCTAAGAAGCGTGATGAATCCTACTAAAAAAGGATGTGAAAATCTGCATATCTAAAGCCTGAGCTACCTTGACTATAAATCTGATCTACCAGACAAGCTGAAGCAGAGATTTTATCAAGCCACTATAAAGGATGTGTTAATATATGGTGCCACTGTAAAAGAGTACAGAGCAGTAGATTATTTGTAATGTGCACTCTTCATTTACGTGAGATTGTAGAAATATCAGGGATGAGTCCATAGAGCTGTAATTTAGTTGGATGTTGTCTCCAGGAGATCTTAAGTATAGCTCTCAGCATCTGAGTGTAAGTTCCATCAAGCTTAGACTGAAGGCTTTTAATTAATATCCAAACAATGGCACCATACTTTAAAAGCACCTCTATAGCAGCTCAAAATGGATCTTTCAAGATTCTATTGTGCCAAACATTAGTCCTGCATTGAGGTCAGAAGATCTTTAGAGTAGCATTAGGTGTCATAAAATAACTGGTCAATGTAAGTAGCTGCTGGGTGACCAATCTCTCTTGTTTCATGGCTAGGTGTCCAGAGCAGTACATCACTGGTGAGTTCTTGTTTTGCTCACCAGCAGTGTCCTGCAAAGCATATTCTGCATTCATGTAAGACTGTAGAAATATCAGGGATGGGTCCATTGAGCTGAGATTCAGTTATGTGTTGTCTCCAAGAGCATAGCTCTCAGCATCCAAGTGCAGGTTCCATCAAGCATAGAATCAAGGCTTTTAGTTAATGTCCAAACAATGGCACCATACTTTAAAATCACCTCTACAGCAGCTCAAAATAGATCATCCATGATTCTGTTGTGCCAATCATTAGTCCTCAATTGAGGTCAGAAGGTCATTGGGGTAGTATTAGGGGTCATAAAATAACTGGTCATTGTAGGTAGTTGCTGGGTGACCAACCTGTCTTGTTCCATGGCTAGGTGTCCAGAGCAGTACATCACTGGTGAGTTCTTGTTTTGCTCACCAGCAGTGTCCTGCAAAGCATATTCTGCATTCATGTAAGACTGTAGAAATATCAGGGATGGGTCCATTGAGCTGAGATTCAGTTATGTGTTGTCTCCAAGAGCATAGCTCTCAGCATCCAAGTGCAGGTTCCATCAAGCATAGAATCAAGGCTTTTAGTTAATGTCCAAACAATGGCACCATACTTTAAAATCACCTCTACAGCAGCTCAAAATAGATCATCCATGATTCTGTTGTGCCAATCATTAGTCCTCAATTGAGGTCAGAAGGTCATTGGGGTAGTATTAGGGGTCATAATATAATCACTGGTCATTGTAGGTAGTTGCTGGGTGACCAACCTGTCTTGTTCCATGGCTAGGTGTCCAGAGCAGTACATCACTGGTGAGTTCTTGTTTTGCTCACCAGCAGTGTCCTGCAAAGCATATTCTGCATTCATGTAAGACTGTAGAAATATCAGGGATGGGTCCATTGAGCTGAGATTCAGTTATGTGTTGTCTCCAAGAGCATAGCTCTCAGCATCCAAGTGCAGGTTCCATCAAGCATAGAATCAAGGCTTTTAGTTAATGTCCAAACAATGGCACCATACTTTAAAATCACCTCTAC